GACATTTACGGGCTCAAGGCTCAAAAGGCGTTTGCGTTTGGACATTCAGGACTCATCATCGTCATCAAGGGGCACGAGGAGCTGTTCCTGGAATTCTCCTCGTCCAGGCGACGAAACGGATGCGTACAGCTGCTTGAGGAGCGCATGGAGGCGGTGCGACTCAGTAGTGTCTCTGAAGACGACCCGGAGGGAAAACAAGTCGCCGATGATGAGAGGATCGCACTGCGAATCATGGAGGATCTCGATGAGAACTCGCCGCTTGAAGCGAGACGCCAGGAAGTTGGAACCCCCTCGATGATGTTTGGCTCGACAACTAGTACCTTCCTCGATTTCAAGCCGGAGACATCGATGAGGATCACATGCCTGACCATCGGAAGTCGGGGAGATGTGCAGCCCTACATTGCACTTTGCAAGGGGTTGCAAGCAGAGGGACACACGACGAGGATTGCTTCTCATGGAGAATACAAGGATTGGGTCGAGGGGGTGAGTTTGACGAACATTACCGGGATTGAGCTGACCCGATAGCATGGTATCGAGTTTGCCAGTGTTGGAGGTGATCCCGCCGAGCTCATGCAAATGTGTGTGGACAATGGCATGTTCACCGTATCTTTCCTCAAGGAAGGATTGCAGAAGGTGAGTAGCGCGTGGTGGACTGAGCTTGGATCGGACTCTGACGATAGTTCCGAGGATGGCTGGACGACCTGCTGAATTCCTCTTGGGAAGCGTGTCAGAACTCAGACCTTCTGATCGAGAGTCCGAGCGCGATGGGTGGTATTCACATTGCCGAGGCGCTTCGCATTCCGTATTACCGGGCGTTCACGGTAGGTCGTCTAATGATCAACGAAGCATCATGGCTGATCGTAGATGCCGTGGACACGGACTCGAGCCTACCCGCATGCTTTCGCTGTTCCCGAGCACAAGAAAGGCGGCTCGTACAATTACATGACGTACACGATGTTCGACCAGGTCTTCTGGCGTGCTATTGCAGGACAGGTCAACCGGTTCAGGAGAAAGGTCCTGGGCATCGACGCTACGACATTTGATAAGCTCGAGCAGCACAAGGGTGAGCTGTCATGCCCATGACACACCGCATATGGCATGACTGACGGGCAGTACCTTTCCTGTACAACTTCTCGCCGAATGTGGTTCCTCCTCCGTTGGACTGGACCGAGTGGATCCACGTCACGGGTGAGTCAGGTTCCCCGATCGCGGCAGCAGTGCTGATTCGTAGGGTACTGGTTCCTCGAGAACGCAGATGAATCTGCCAACAAGGAGAAGAAGTGGTCTCCACCTGAAGGCCTCGTTGAATTCATTGACAAGGCTCACGAGATGGGCAAGAAGGTCGTCTACATGTGAGTCGACCGTCCAAGCTGCTGGGTCGAGATAAGGGATGAAGCTGACCAACAGCGGGTTCGGGTCGATCGTTGTGTCCGACCCTGAGGAGATGACACGATGCGTTGTCGATGCCGTTGTCGACTCGGGCGTTTACGCCATTCTTTCCAAAGGATGGAGTGACCGTGGCTCCAAGGCGAAAGGCGAGGACAAGGGGGATTCAAGCGGCGCGGACGGGGTCAAGTACCCGGAAAGTATCTTGTGAGTTGTCTGTTCTTGTAGGTGGCACAGGCGCTCATGGTCAGCTCGATTGACTCTATCGACCATTCGTGGTTGTTCCCGAGAATCGACGCTGCTTGTCATCACGGTGGAGCCGGTACTTCGGGCGCCTCGCTTCGGGCGGGTATTGTGAGTTATCCAATCCATTCCTGAATCAAAGCAGGTCGCTGACTCGCAGCCCACAATAATCAAGCCGTTCTTCGGTGATCAAGCCTTCTGGTCCGAGAGGGTGGAATCGCTCAATGTCGGAAGCGCAGTCCGCAAGCTCACGTCTGAGAACCTTGCCGAGGCGCTCAAAAAGGCCACGACCGACGAAAAGCAGATTGCAAAGGCGAAGATCGTGGGTGAGATGATCAGGAAAGAGAACGGAGTCGCAAGGGCTATCGAGGCGATCTACCGCGATTTGGTATGGTCTTTCGCCTTGGCAAGCTCGCTGGTTATGCTGACGGACAGGAATACGCCAAATCGCTGATCAAACCCCCACCGGAGAAGTCGGACAAGGGTTTGTCAATTATTCCCAGTCTTGGTGCGCCCGAACTGCCCAATCCGTTCCGAAGCAAATCTCGCGACCAAGACGCAAGCCGAACGCCTTCGACCAAGAAATCGACCTCGCGCGGACGATCAGACACTGGAGATGATCATGAGCAAGTCAGTGACGGAAGTTGGGACCATTTGAGCGAGGACCATGAGCGGCAATGCGACGACCAGGCTTCGGGATCGGTATCAGAGAAGATGGACGATGGGGATGGGGATGCCGTAGGGAGGAGCAAGTCCACGGGGAGTGGCATCTTGAGCAAGATCAAGTCGGTTGTGCCGGTGTGACAGGTCGGGGAGAATATGGGATCAACCAAGGATTATTAGCAGTGCTATGTAGCGATACAATGTCTGTTGTAGACTCGACATCATCATACTCGTTATACTCGTTTCGGATCAGTAATGAATAGCTCAGTCGCTGGAAACGGGTCCGAGAGGGAGTGCTGTGTCCTGATTCAACTGATGCGTGAACTCAGAGCTACAGCTTGGGTTTAGAAGCAACACGAGCCAGGGTATCGAATGCATCAAGACGATGTGGGTAGTAGAACAACATGCGTCGGGCGTTGTAACGTCGACGGGCCGGCGAGGGATTCGCGCGGAAGCTAGAGGTTGAGATGGCGAAGGAGGGTGACAAGGAGCCGGGCGTCATGTCGATTTACTCTAAGTTCTCGGCGGCCTCCTTCTTTTGCTTGGCGAGCTTCTTCATCCGTCGCATGTAGCTGTGTGTCAGTGGAACGGTCGGGTCCAGCGGGGTGATGGTGCTGGCTTACTCGTCATATTGACACCTGACGTTAGCTACGGCTGAAGAGAGGTGATGCGGGGTTGTGAAGGGGAACTCACTTCTCGTAGACGTGCTTCTCGTCCTCGCACTTCCAGGGGAGGTAGTACTCCTTATGTCTACAGATGTTGAGGGGGATAAGGAGGCTGACAGTCAGTATGAAGCCTTTGGAGTGTCGTTATGCGCAAGGAGCAGTCGAGGCAGGAGAGAGCCAACGTCGACAAAGTATGGTAGAGCCGGGGAAGGACGAAGTGGTATTCGGGACATACGCCGAGCAGTTGTCTCTCCACTGAAGAGGGACTTGGTGTTTGTTGAGCTCGGCTTGCGAGGCTGTCGTTGATGAAACCATTGTGCAGAGGTCGAAGGGGGGATGTCTATAGTCTTGTATCACTTGTGTCGAGGTAATGACTGGCCAAGTGGAGGAACGGTACGACGGGGGGAGGGGAGCAGCCAGGAAGCGTCGGCGATAACCGGGGAAATCGTGTTCAACCGGTTTGTGGCGGTGAGTGGGACGTCACTGACCGGCACCACTATGGTGTTTTGGTGTCTGGCATCGCAACCATGGTCTACGTTGGAGGAGTTTGATACGCTGTACCGAAGCAGACGGCACATGCAGGCAGAACAGAGCTAGCTCACTTGGAAAGCCGGTGGGACAGTACCGATCGGGACGTGATGCAGATTATCACTTTGGCACATCGAAATCCCAAGATCAAACACCATGGTCAACGTGAAACCACACGACATTATGGTACAACACGTTACACGACCACGCCCAATCTCATCGTCAAGCAAGCAGCAACAGCTGATCATGTCGAGCAGGGGAACTAAACCAAGGTAACGGGGCTGGCGTCGTAACGATGACCCTCTGACACAATCTCTACGCGAAGTTGGACCGCCGTGCACTAGGTCGTCAGGCGACGAGGCCCTAGCCTCTTGCCTGTCGGTAATTGGCTCTCCATCATGCAATGAATTCACATCTACACTGACCTTTTCGTACTCTCTGTGTCTAACCGTCGTTGGTCGGGAGATATCGCCTGGAACGGTATCAACCGACCTTGTTCGAGCTGGATCTCGACAGTCGAACTGGTGAGCCTTCCACTCTCTCACTCCCTCCCGCGCGCGCCAACGGTCTGTGCTGGACCATCAAGGACCAGTCTCAAAGTTGCCCCCTGGGCGGAGTACTGATCGAGAGGGATAGCGAAAGTTGACGACCTAGTGGCACAGCGCTTCACCGGCAGATCAAGGGTGCAAAGAGCTAGGTGCCCCACCCGACTCGCCTTCTCGACCACACTCAGACTGTCAGACTCGATAGCGAAATGTTCTCTATACCCTGTACAACCAATGCAAAAGTCAGCCTCAAGTTCGGCTCAGCGACTTTCCCGATCGATACTAGGGACTTCTTGTTCCAGCCATTGAACAACGATCTCAAGGGAGACTGCATCTCGGCCATCACGGCGGAGACGGTCTCTGATGCAGAGACGTGGCTTCTGGGTGGTGAGCGCTCTTTGGTACCCTCTTCCTGCCAGAGCGCACCTCTTCTTACTTCCAGATAATTTCTTGAAAAAGGTCTACATGTCCACAAACAGCCAGACTCTGACAGTCACACTCTCGGCCAGGACAGACGTGCCGGCGTCCTCGTCTGTCGGTCGGACGGACCCTGCTGCCGTAGCGAGTCTCTTCCCCGGCAGTCCGAGTAGCCTGACCAGCGGTGGGCACACAGAACAGCAGGCTCTCGCCAATGACACTGCCTCGCGAGATAGGTTAGGTGGTGAACAACTGGCGAATGGAAGCGGCCGTGCCGGTAGCCTAGATCTCTGGTTGCAGCTCCAGAAGGTCCTACAACTTGTACTCGGTATATACGAAGTCGCCCAGTCTCGCCTATGAGCACAACTGGTCGCGTATGTACTAGTGCTCTGAACTTCGAGCATTGATCGAGAACCTGCGAACACCGTGCGAGGACCCAGGCAGCTCTCATCGCTGGGATGCATTCCGCGAGCTGCACCGCATTCCACATATCGTACGCTTCGCCTCCGGTTCGGGGTGTGGATGGACAGGTCACGAAAAAGCAAAAAGTTTGTGGAGAAGCAGGGAATTGAACCCTGGACCTCAACTATGCTAAAGTTGCGCTATACCACTTAGCTACTTCCCCAGCCAGCCAATGAAGGCTGATATGTTTTTTTTGTCATGGACAACAATATATACCGCACAGAAACAAGTGCATGTCTTCCGCTGCTCCTCACCTGTCTCGACACGTCCAGTCCCTTGAGATTGTCGGATTTGCGACAATGCCTCCCTCGGGTCTCTTGCGTACGGTTAGACGGGGGGCAGGAGCAAGCATGGTTCTCACGGCGACAGGCCTTGCATTGTCTCAACCATTTACTCCCCCAATGTGTACCCGAGTCATCAGTGTACAGGGTCAGCCAGTCGTTCTTCCCCTTCTATTTCAATGCATGCACAGGTGGCTTTCGCTGACGAACAGACGATACTCTTCGCTGACCGGCTCTCACTGGCCCACATTCGACTTGGCAGCTGTCTTAGCTGCTTCGCGAAGATCCTGCAATGATGGGGCATCTTCGGGCAGGCGTGAGAAAGCTTCCTGTGCGCTGCGGTACCACAGGTCGACCTCTGTTTGTGAGAGGGTCCCCTCGAGCACATTCTCGGCGATCTCAGCTGGATTGAGGTGGACATTCACAAAGCCCTCTTCGACCTGCCCGTCCCCGTCGCCGTCCCCGTCCCCGTCAATTTCGTCTGCATCCACCTCCGTCCATCCTTCCTTGGACAGCCCTTTGGAACCTTCAGGGACATCGGAGGTTGGATTCAAGTTCGCACAACTGATCTTCTCGTTTCCTTCCTCGCTGGTGAGAATGATCACCACGCTGGGGAACGACGTGCTCCAGGCTAATCCAGCGCCTTGTTTGGAAAGGGCCTCGAAGCTTTGGATCATACGCGTATTCGCATATGGCAAATGAGCGGTATGACTTTGGTACAGCTTGGGCAATCCGTACACCCACCGGGCGGTGGTGTCGAGTTTTCGCGATTAATTCACGGATGCGATGCTGCGATTCTGAGGACTGGAATAGGCTGATGGAGACATGATGAACGGTATTTGGTTGCTCTTCAGAAAGTCAGTCCAGAAAATAGAATTGATCGTTAAAAGGTCGACCGAGGGTCCAGATCTTTTTCTATGGCGCCTCCGGGTCAGAGGCGAGCACGCCATCGGCGACACTCCTTTGATGACTTTCCTTGGGGATATGTAAGGTGACGCGAGCGTCGACCGATGATCACAGAGCAGCGAGCACGCCATGCACCTCTCCTTTGTTCCTTCCCTTTGATGTCAGATATCTACAAGGTCGCGCGCGTCGTCTTGCAGTGAGTCACCCATGCCAGACCGTTCGCCACCGGCCCCCGGGACGAACGCCAGAGACAGCGCGGTTCGTCAGAGACGCCCAGGGAGATTCAAGCCAAGAGAGCCGCTTTGCATTCCAAAAACCTATGTCGATTCGCATCGCGTGAGCCTGGTCAATTTACGCAACACCTGACTGACATGCATACAACCGGTAGGTGACCCAAAAGGACAAGACCACAAGACCGAAAGGTATATTATAGACACATAACTACAAGTTTGATGTAGAAGCCCACGGGGACGATTGATTGAGACTCTTGATTTCAGCCACGCTGAGCAGATCCGCCTTCGCCGTGCCCCTAACGTCGAGCTTGGAGATCATCGCTTCGACAACGTCTCCCGGTTCGGATTCGACGGAATACGCACTCGATCGAGTGGGAAACAAAGTGGAGCTTGGAGACGAGACCCCAGACGTCTCGTCGAGGGCTGTCAAGGTCGACCCAGCGAGACCTCGAGTGGGGTCGATACCTGGCTCATCTCCGGCTTTCTGGAGTGGCTGGCGAGACTGCGAGTACCCCGATTCCATCTGTCTCGAAGGAAGATGAGGTGTCTCTGGAAACACCGAGGAGCCCTTCTCCGAATTAGTGCTAGTCGGTTCCAGCATGGGTGGATCCTGCCCGGGTTCCGAGACATTCCGCTTGTGGGATCCCGAGCGAGCAAGCACATCCGACTCCCAAGCAACTCTGGACCGATTGGAGAGACCCGGTGGCATGGGCTCCGAGGCGCCGCGCGAATGCGAGCGCATTGGCGAGTTGCTACGTCCAAAGGGACGAGAGGAAGGTGGGAGCGGGAAGGAGAAATGTTGATCGAGATCGAGCGACGCGATGATGCCTTGACGCCTGGAGTCATTGATAATATCGTCTAGCCCAAGCCCCGAGACCTCTGGGAGGTCAAGGTCCAAGCTCAGATCAACCGTGCTCAGCCGATGGAGGTGCAGTGCGGGAGTCGATATACTCGTCGGGAGGCCAGGTCGCTTGAATGTGGACGACCCAAAGTGAGTCCCCATCGAAGACGTTCGAGAGGGTAAGACGCGTGATAGGAGGGAAGGGGTTCGCCGAGGCCTGTCTTCGAATCTCGTTTTGGTCGAAACAGATTGTCCGATGCTGGCGCGAGATGACGGTCGCCGCGGCTCATCCTCCTCTCCTTCGACGAGCATGGAGAGTCGCTTGACCCAGCTTTCGCCGCCAGACAACCAAGACTTGCGACGTTGATGGCGGCTTGCCATGCCCATCGACGTGGAGGGTCGCGAGGGGATAGAGTCCTCATCAAGAGGCACGACGAAAGGGTCGGACAGCCGTCTTGCCATTCGTGGAGAGACGGAGCGTTCCGTAGCAGGCCTGTGTCGGGAGAGTCGCGACAAGGTGTTGCTCTTCGTAAGTCGTTTCAAAGGGGAAGAGGTAGGGACGGATGACTGAGATGCTGTCCTTCTAGATGAGAGGGCCGTTCGAATCTTGCTGATGATCGTTCTAGGTGATCTTGTCTTGGTAGGCGGCTTGGCGTCCATGGGTCGACCAGCGATAGGATCTAGCTTGACCATCCGAGGCTTTGGCTCTGCCTTGATCGGACTTCTTTCGGACGGCTTCACACTTTCTGTCGACGTCTCGTCGCTGTCAGGCTGAGACGAGATCCCAAGACCATGCTCCGAAGCTATATCCATAACTCCCAGGGCGTTGGGACCTCGAAGGTCCGATACATCCACCCGACCAAGGGTCTCGTCGATTCGAACGACTGACCCCATCGTGGATCTCCTATTCGAGGGGAACTTAGTTCCAAAGCTCTCCTGGCTGCTGGTGATCCGTTGCGGCGGTACCTGGTTCGCGTTCCGTGGTGAGGTATGGTTCGGAGGTCTCCAGGGCGGTCGTGGGCCTGAGGCTCTCCCATGTTGCCTCTGCCAAGCTTCGGGAGAAGCAAGGTTTGGCGAGGGATCTTGACTTTGCGTGAGCGGTGGAGTGTAGTACTCAGAGATGGTCGATGTGGTTGAACGAGGAGCTCTTGTCGTCGCCGTCGTCGCTGTCGTCGTCGTCGTCGCGAGGTGTGGGGTGGACATGGAAACGGGGGCGAGAGCAGTCGTCGACCTCGCGAAAAGGTTTGTCAACGAGCGACCCCTTCTATCTGTATCCTGCAATCTAGTCGGTTTATCCTCTATCGACCCTCGTTTCCCCATGCCCCATTTCTTCCTGTCGCCTGTCAGCGACAGGTGGGGCATCGAGCTGCCGAAAGCTTGGACAGATCGATTCCATAAAGCCTTGACGGGAGATGCGCTTAGACTGTTCTTGCGAATCTCGTCCGCTTCAACATGCCGTGCCCAAAGGGACAAGGGGTCATCATCTTCGGTCTCTGTCGATTTTTTCCGTCTCCACCATCCCGTCTTGGACCCTGGTCTCGGTCCTCCTGCCCAACCCTCCCCTACACCCCGTACGCCCGGGGCCGAACGCAGAGTCTCGTCGGCAATAGCCCTCGGCGTTTTATCAACGTCCTCATCGTCCCCTTGATCCTCCTCCTCTGCTTCCTGCCGCGTGCTCCAACGGTCCCTCCGCCTAGGGCTCTCCCGCGCTTGGCGATTTCGGGAGGGTCCCGAGGAAGAGGATGGGAACCGATCGACCCACGACGTTACATGTGGACCCACCGGTTCCTTGTTCTCGTCTTCACATGTCGGCATAGGTCCCGAATTTCTCATCGCTATCGGGGTTGCCGTAATCGACACGTCAGTCGACGACCCAGAATTCTGGGACAGCATTGAGTCGGACGTGGAGTCTCGGGGATTAAGGGGTATGGCGTCCATGGAGACTTGGCTTCGGAGCGCTCGAGGCGATAGAGGTGCCGTTTCGGGGGATGTGGTGGAGGAAGACGAGGAGGTAGTCACGGAGACTCCTGTCTGTGAGCATATGCTTATAATGGGTCGCGCCGATGGAATTCGCGGCACACGTGAGAATTTGGGACGAGGGTGCAGCTGGGGATATGGGACAACTCACCTTGACCATCGTGATGAGAAGCGCCTGCGCCCGTGGAGAGGGACCTCTCCGAGCCGTACGAATACGACCTCTGCCTATCCAGTCGCGGCGAGATCGGTCGGCCCAGAACGAAGGACTGCTCTCCATGCTCATTGACCACCCCAAACTCCTCTTGGATCGAGTCCATCGTGCAAGTCCCTCCCTCCTCTCGTAGTCTATCCCCCTCTTCTTTCGCAAATTCAGCCGGCTAAACGTGTCGATGAAACCGATTTCGCTAACTGCCTATCCGTTCTTCCACTACAAACCCTCCCGTGTCGAAGCGTCTCCAGCACCCGTCTGACCAGTTCGCAGCGACAACGACTTGCAATCTGTCGGTGTAAGATATAAGAGAGAAAGAAAGAGATAGAGGTGCAATGCTCAACCGACGACCCGGAAGGAACACCACCGCGGGTGATATCAATGCGGCAAGCGTGCCAGTTTGGACTGAAATTCTGGCTTTGTATGCTTTGTATAGGGGGGTGGAAAGAGCGGGGGCGAGGAGCGGGTCCCAAGACATTCCGAGAGCGTTTAGCGCGCATTTTACACGAAATAACGATATCTGGCGATGGAGGGGCCTGATACCCCTTTGCTCGATCTTTGGGACACTACATGGGTGCCCGTGACAGGGTACCCAGAAAAAAGCGCGCGGATGCAACGTATCGCGCGAATCGCGACGGAGCGGCATCTCGGTGCCCTAAGTATGCTATGTCATAACCTCGATCCCCCAGGAAACGGACGGGCTGTGGGAATGGGAAG